GCGCTGCTGCCGCTGCGTGCGGACAGCGCGGCCACGGCCGGCCCTTGCCGGCCGTCCGGCAATAACGTCCGAACAAAATGACTTCAAATAGCATGACATGAACATAAAAACATATATATACTGAAAATGTGAAGATTCATGCCAAGGATTGAACTATGGCCGCGGCGGGCGCGCCGTGCGCCGCCGACGGCGTTAAGCTGTTCCACGACCCATACTCATATTCTCTCGGCAATATAAATTAATTGAGCTTAAACATGACTTTACTGAACATGATAACACATAATTAATCGGAGAGTTGAACTTAACATGCAATAGCACGAGAGCGGTCCGTGGTGCGCACTAAGTGTGCGACCACACCTCTTCGACCAAAGTACCACCTCATGGCTAATTATCCGAACATTATAGCTAATCTAAACATGATATTACAAATAAAGGCTAAACATGCAAGAATGGCCGGAGAAAATAACTTGTAACATGACATGGTCGGCACGACTACGGCTTAACACACATAACACGCATGCATGTCAAATTAAAATCTAATCTTAATAAACATGCTAATCTCGGTCAACAACCGTCGGGAGTTACCTCTTATTAAGCTCCGGTGACTACTCTTTCCGAACTCCCGCTCTCGGCCGTGACCCTCCGCGTGTGTGCGACGCCGTGCGATGGCTTATGGTACGAGCGGCTCTCGGCAATAGCTCACGAACCACACTCCAAACCTCACTAACTCTCTCTATATTTCGGACTAGGCATAGAAGGAGAGAAAAAATGGAACAAAATTTCCAAACTCTCTCATTTAACATAAGAGCCGAATGAGTATAAAGGTGAGGGAGAGAATATTGGTCAAAGGTTATGGACACTTGGCTCACACATGCACAAAAACTTAGGCCACAACACACTAAAAGCCAAAGTGACATGCATGAAGCTCCAAACTCTTCTTGGCCTCACTAAGTCACGTGAATGATGCCAACAAAATGAAGAAGATATGCTTGATCAAACACCCACTTACATGTGCACGGCATTATGGATTAAAGAGAAGGGAATTTGGACCAAATGTTCTAAAATACAACACTAATACTCACGGCATTAGAGGACAAGATGGGAGGAATCTTGGACCAAACTTTAATATCCATGCCACTAACAAGCTACATAACAAAAATGCACGGCATTCATGACTTAGAATAACAAAGATTCTCCACTATTTGAATAGAGTAGTGCACGGCAATTAGCATGCTAATGGTGATTAATTACCATTAATCACAAATTAAAGCTTAATCAATTAATTAAGCATAGTACTTAATTACCAAAAATATTTCGAACGTAAACGGTACGTCGAAAATAATTTCCGGTACTTTTGACTGAAATATCTGAAAATAATTAATTCCGAAAAACAATATCGGAACTAAAAATATAATTTATACTGATAAATAGTCGGGATATTACAAAGCATATTCTCAAGTATCAGAAAAGAACTCGAGATTATATGCTTGTTTACCAGTCAGACGGTCTAACTCCTTTGGGTTACACAGATTCTGATTTCCAAGCTGATCGAGATAAGAGAAAGTCGACCTCGGGTTATGTGTTTATGATGGGAGGCGGAGCGATCTCATGGAGGAGTGTGAAGCAGAAATGCATCGCAGATTCTACCATTGAAGCCGAATACGTTGCTGCTTCAGAAGCAACAAAGGAGGTTATTTGGCTCAGGAGTTTCTTACTGGACTTAGGGGTATCTTTGAGTGTGCCTAAGTGTATCACAATTTATTGTGACAACGCTGGTGCAGTCGCAAACTCGAGAGAACCCCGAGCACATAAGGCCAGTAAACACATCGAGAGAATGTACCACCTTATACGAGAGATCGTAAAACGAGAAGATGTGGTTGTGACGAAGATAGCATCGTTGGATAATCTAGCTGATCCTTTCACGAAGACTCTGACTGTCAATGTCTTCGAGAAACACATAGAGGGTCTTGGTTTACGATGTGTTGCAGCTAGACTTTGAGTATAAGTGGGAGAATTGTTATGGCATGTGTTTATATATACTAAAAGTTTAGCTTTAGTATAAGTGGGAGATTGTTGGGGTAAACAGTAAAGCAAACTTTTATGTGAGCTTTTGGATTGTATTTATTCGATTTCCCATTTGACTGAAATAAATGTTTTCACATTGTTGCATTCTTTATGATTGCTTGTATGCTAAATATCAAATTATCTTATATTGTAGACAATGTGGTGTGTTAGTAGTCACACAGAAGATTACATTGTCGGTCCCTTATAAGATATAAATGGTATTCACAATTGAGATAGTTATGGACATGACTATCGGTTTAGGTTGTAGTATAAACTGGATATAGCTTGTCTTGGCTATTGGTTTATACTAGTGCGCTGCGTCGCATTGAATGGATCACGGTTGAGACGTGTTCTTCAGTTCTGACTATCATGAAGAACCTAGGTCTCGGTGACTCTACTAATTCTTAACCTAAATTGTGATACTTAGGTATGTGGGATGTTTGCTTGCTACTTTGATTTACCATGGGTGAGAGCCAAGTATTGGTTCAATATGCTCTGTATCTTGGGTAACAACATTATCTGCATGATATCTATTTATTGGCATTAGGGCACCGTGTCCTGGACATCCAGGTTGATGACGTCCCCTTAAGGAACTCATAAGGATTATCGTATAAACCCTGCAGGTGGATTTTATCCGTACGATAATAAGGTTGAGTGGTACTACTTAAGGAATAAAAGATATTAATTAATTAAAGCAGTCAGAAGCTTTAATAATTAATGGACGTGCGATATCTTAAATACGGGGAATTATATTGAGTCTAATAGAAGCCCTGATTCATTTCGGGATAGGACGGGAGTGCAATATTAATTCTCTAGTGGAATGAATTAATATTTACAGGCCAAATTGTGTTCTGGGCTGAACATAAGAATTTGGGCCTGTAGGGAGCCCAAACCCTATACCTTCTAAGAGATCCCTAGTCTGGCCCAAGGACTCTATAAAAGGATGGATAAGCCCACGTTCTGAAACCCTAAGAGATCATTCATGTCTTCAGCCACCACACCAACGTGGGAGAAGGAAGAAAGAAACGTGAAGGGTTCAGAGAAGAACAAAGGCAATCCGCTCATTTCAACCGTTTGGAGGATCGTCGTCCATCCGGCGTCCAAACGTGGTCGGGACACAGACTAGAAGATCGCTCAGATCGAATCGAAGCCTTGAAGAAAGGTATATCTCTGTTCGTTCTTTAGGAGCATGCTTAGGTTCATTCAAAATCATGTATGTACATGTTTGGTATCCGATATCGATCGGTGGGTAGGACCGTCTCGTCGGCGTGTTCCAGCACTTTTCACCAAGATATCGTCCACGTAAACTTCCATATTTTGCCCGATCTGCGATTTGAACATTCGATCCATCAACCTTTGGTATGTTGCCCCTGCGTTCTTAAGTCCGAAGGGCATAACGACATAACAATACGTCCCTTTGCTCGTCACAAAACTAACTTTGCTTTGATCCTCAGGGGCCAAGGGAATTTGGTGGTATCCCTGGGACGCGTCCATCATGCTTAGCAATTGACAGCAGCAGTAGAGTCGACCAGCTGGTCGATTCTCGGCAGAGGGTAGTGGTCCTTCGGGCATGCTAAATTTAAATCGCGAAAATCGATACACATACGCCACTTATTTAGCGCTTTCCTCATCATCACCGTGTTTGATATCCATTCTGGGAATTGAATTTCTTGGATGTGTTTGGCTTTCAGCAATTTATCCACCTCGACTTCTATGGCTTTGTCGATTTCTGCGCCATGGTGTCTAAGCCGTTGCTTCACGGGCTTTTTCAGGGGGTCGACATTAAGCTTGTGTTCCATGACATCAGGATCGATTCCTGTTAGCTCTTCAGGGGAAAAAGCGAATATGTGCCTGAATTCTTTCAGCAGTCCCACCAACTGTTGATGTAACTCTTCTTCCAATTCTCGCCCTATTTTAGTGGTCTGCTCCTCTCTTTCCCCAATTTGAATTTCCATTAATTCCCCATGCGGCTCGAGATCATTCTCCCTTCGTCTTTTTTCATTTGACACCGGCTTCTTCCCTTCTTTTACCTCCGTTCGTTGGTTTGTCCTTACTGCAATCTGATAACAGGTTCTTGACAGCCTCTGGTCCCCTCGGGCCTCCCCTACTTTATCCCCGACAGGGAGTTTTAGCTTCATATGATAGGTTGACACTACTGCTTGGAATGCGTTTAGCGCTGGCCTTCCCAGAATCACATTATAAGCCGACTCGACGTCGACAACGACAAACCGCACCATTTTTACCTTCCTTAAGTTGCCTTCCCCGAGGACGACAGCGAGCATGGTTTCCCCTAGGGGTGCGACTTCTGAGCCATTAAATCCAAAAAGTGAAGTGTGGAGAGGTGAGAGTTCAATGTCGAGTTCCATCCGTTTAAGACAATTGAAAAAAATCACATTCACCGAGCTTCCTGTGTCGACAAAGATTCTCTGGACTTCATATCCCGATATCTGAGTTGTGATCATCAAGGCATCGTTGTGAGGTCTCTCGACCGCTCCCATGTCTGCTGGTCCAAAATTCATCACTGGACCATCTTCCTCGACCTGTTGCACTTCGGTTTTTCCGTGATGCCCTCGGGCATATGCTTTTCTAGCTCGATTTGAATCGCCATCGGTTGGCCCTCCGAATATCATATGAATTATTCCTTTTTTCTGGGGAAGCTCCTCCTTGTCGGGTGTTTGCCCTCTTGTGAGGGCTTTTGCTTCTCTCCCTTCGCCGACTGGTTCGTTCTCGATCTTTATAAACGAATTCCTTCAGGTGGCCTACTTTGATTAGTCTCTCGATTTCATTTTTTAGGTGTCGGCATTCATCGGTGTTGTGGCCGTAGTCTTTATGAAATCGACAATACAGGTTACTTTTAGGTTTTGTCGGCCCCTCCTTCCTTGTTCGTGGCCACCTGACAACATTTTCACGCATCTCTTTCTCCATCACTTCCAATATCCTTGCATTCGAGGCTAACAGAGGGGTATATTGGGCTGCCCTCCATCCCCTCGAACGGCCCTCTCTTTCGGACTTTGGGGATCCCTTTCTTTCAACCGTCGAGACCGGTTTTCTATCCTTCTTTTTGTCCCGAGACTCAGCTTTTGCTTTAGCCGCTTGTAAAAAGTCAGCCTAGGCTTCCTCGACATTCATGTATTTGGCGCACCTTCCCAACACTTCATCGAACGTCCTTCCAGGTCGTTTTGCTAGGGAATTTCTGCATAGTCCCGGGAGTAGCCCTCGAGTGAGTCCTCCCGACTTGATCTCCTCAGTGGCCGAGGGGACGTCGACACACGCCCGTGTGTATCTCGCCACGTAGTCCCTTAATGATTCCCCTTCTTTCTGCTGCATACTTATCAGAGTAAGGTAAGACTTTTCTTGGGCTTTTACACTTGCAAATTGATTTAGGAAACTCGAGCTAAATCCATTGAAATCCCTGACGGCCCCCGGGGGCAATTGATGAAACCAATCCTTCGCTGGTCCTCGTAGGGTCGTCAGGAATGCTTGACACTGAACGGGGTCGTTATATCGGTGCAACACTGCCATGTTTTCGAAACTTCTGAGATGTCGAGAGGGATCAGTCGACCCGTCATACCAGATATTGAGCTCCCTGAACCCTTAAGGCAAGTCGACATCTAGAATATGTTGTGAGAAGGGGTGTCCCCTCGAGCTTCCCGTTTTTCTTCCTTCCACTCGAGCCTGCAAGTCTCGGACCTGTGCTAACAGCTGCTCCAGCGTGTCGTTTCTGGCTTGTGGGTTAACGGTTCTGACAGAGGACTCCTCCTCATCTGCCCTCCTGTTCTGCCTTTCATGCGATTGTGCCTGTTGTTCGCGTTCAGGGGGTTGCTGCTCATTTTGAGGTTGTTCGATCCTAGCTTGCTCGATTCGGAGTTGCTCCACCCTGGGCTGCTCGACCGGTGTTTGTTTGATTAGGGCGGCTACAGCTTCGGCGATCATCCTCTGCATCTCGCTCCGTGTTATGGTCAGCATTTGCTCCTCACTTTGGGGCAGCAGTCCCCTTCCTGGCTCGAGCGGTCCCAGCTGCTTTCCCATGCTTAGGAGCGTCTCGGTTGACTCACGATGGTTGACTTCTCCGCTCGTGCTCCTCACGTGACTGGCCTCCCCTTGAGTGAGCACTGGGATCTTGACTCCTGGTGGGGTGATAGGTGTTTCTTCCCCCATACGCCTTCCTGACGGTGTGTGTGCCCCAAATGGTGGAAAACCGAGCACGTGGAGCGGTGGTCTGGGGTTGGGAATCGGCGGAGGTCGCTTGTCAATCCATGCCGCCCTGAAATCCTCGTTCAAGTTTTTCTGCGGTCCTTCCTTGTAAGCCATCGGAAACAGATCCAAACTAGGTGTAAAGCTCTTACTTCCTTCAAGAGCTCCCCACAGACGGCGCCAAAATGATGGGTCTCCTCGCAGATCTGGAACGCCCGATGAGAAAACGTCCGGATCTGGGATGAACCGGTGTGAACGAGCTCAGATCTGATTTGATGGCCTTCGAACCGTGGTTAAATCGCGAGAACACCTGCAAGAACTCAACGCTGGAGGGGTTTCCGGCGTAGAGCCTCCGACGCTCAAGTCAGTATGTGAGAGATGAGAAGAGCTACTCCAGAGAGAGTAGCAGCAGTAGTAATGGAGGAAAGTATAGAATGAATGGGAGCTAGGGTTTTGGAGTTACCTCAGCTCCTTTATATAGAAGTAAGACATTTACCTGAAGTCCCCAAAATGCCCTAGCCGACTTACAGGAAATGTCCAAAATACCCTGGTCGGTTCGTATTCCATCCACCTCCTAGTCAGCATCTAGATTCTTCCTTATCTTTAGCAGTTTTCCTTCGGTATGTTGAAGTGTATTGGAGTCGTCGAGATCTACGAGCTTTAAGACCTCCTCAGTCGACCTGGTATATCGCCTCGAGTCGACTGGGTCATATTCAATTGGTAATAGGTCCTGACACGTTTGGTCGTCATCCCAGAGGAAATCGACTCATGCTAGCCGACATGCGGAAGTCGACTCAGATAAGTGCCGGGACCCTCGTCTGGAGATATCATAAAGAATCTGCGGACAGAGTCGACTTTGATAAGTCGACTCGGTAATCTCTGAACCGTGATGACATGAACCGTTGCACGACAGTGTAGCTATATCAATCGCGTTTCGTAACAAAATTGTAAACACTTAAAGAAGTCGAGGAAAATAAGAGTAAATAGGGGCAAAAAAAAAAATCAACGTCTCCGTAAAGGCTTGTTTTCAAACACGACACCATTATTTGATGTGAATAACATATATTTCTCGCACCATCGTGTTTCGAAGAAAATTCGTATACATTTAAAGAAGTCGAGGAAAATAAGAGTAGTAGGGGCAAAAAACGAAAAAATAATCAACGTCTCCGGAAAGGCATGTTTCCGAACACAACACCATTATTTGATGTGAATAACATATATACCATCGCGTTTCGAAGCAAAATCGTATACATAAAAGAAGTCGAGGAAAATAAGAGTAAATAGGGGCAAAAACGAAAAAATAATCAACGTCTCCGGAAAGGCTTGTTTTCGAACACGATACCATTATTTGATGTGAATAACATATATTTCTCGCACCATCGCGTTTCGAAGCAATATAGTATACATTTAAAGAAGTCGAGAAAAATAAGAGTAAATAGGGGCAAAAACGAAAAAATAATTAACGTCTCAGAAAAGGCTTGTTTTCGAAAACGACACCATTATTTGATGTGAATAACATATATTTCTCGCACCATCGCATTTCTAAGCAAAATCGTATACATTTAAAGAAGTCGAGGAAAAAAAGAGTAAATATGGGCAAAAACGAAAAAAAAATCAACGTCTCCAAAAAGTCTTGTTTTCGAACACGACACCATTATTTGATGTGAATAACATATATTTCTCGCACCATCGTGTTTCGTAACACAATTGTATTCATTTAAAGAAGTCGAGGAAAATAAGAGTAAATAGGGGCAAAAACGAAAAATATTCAACGTCTCCGGAAAGACATGTTTTCGAACACGACACCATTATTTTATGTGAATATCATATATTTCTCGCACCATCGCGTTTTGTAGCAAAATTGTATACATTTAATTAAGTCGAGGAAAATAAGAGTAATTAGGGGCAAAAACGAATAAATAATCAACGTCTCCGGAAAGAATTGTTTTCGAACGCGGCACCATTATTTGATGTGAATAACATATATTTCTCGCACCATCACGTTTCTTAACAAAATTGTATTCATTTAAAGAAGTCGAGGAAAATAAGAGTAAATAAGAGAAAAAACGAAAAAATAATCGACGTCTCCAGAAAGGCTTGTTTTCGAACACGACACCATTATTTGATGTGGATAACATATATTTCTCGCACCATCGCATTTAGAAGCAAATTCGTATACATTTAAAGAAGTCAAGAAAAATAAGAGTAATAGGGGCAAGAACGAAAAAATAATCAATTTCTTAAGAAAGGCTTGTTTTCGAACACGGCACCATTATTTGATGTGAATAACATATATTTCTCGCACCATCGTGTTTCGAAGAAAATTTGTATACATTTAAAGAAGTCGAGGAAAATAAGAGTAGTAGGAGCAAAAAATGAAAAAATAATCAACGTCTCCGGAAAGGCATGTTTCCGAACACAGCACCATTATTTGATGTGAATAACATATATTTCTCGCACCATCGCGTTTCGAAGCAAAATCGTATACATAAAAGAAGTCGAGGAAAATAAGAGTAAATAGGGGCAAAAACGAAAAAATAATCAACGTCTCCGGAAAGGCTTGTTTTCGAACACGATACGATTATTTGATGTGAATAACATATATTTCTCGCACCATCGCGTTTCGAAGCAATATAGTATACATTTAAAGAAGTCGAGAAAAATAAGAGTAAATAGGGGCAAAAACGAAAAAATAATCAACGTCTCAGAAAAGGCTTGTTTTCGAAAACGACACCATTATTGGATGTGAATAACATATATTTCTCGCACCATCGCATTTCTAAGCAAAATCGTATACATTTAAAGAAGTCGAGGAAAAAAAGAGTAAATATGGGCAAAAACGAAAAATAAATCAACGTCCCCGAAAAGTCTTGTTTTCAAACACGACACCATTATTTGATGTGAATAACATATATTTCTCGCACCATCGTGTTTCGTAACAAAATTGTATTCATTTAAAGAAGTTGAGGAAAATAAGAGTAAATAGGGGCAAAAACGAAAAAATATTCAACGTCTCCGGAAAGACATGTTTTCGAACACGACACCATTATTTGATGTGAATATGATATATTTCTCGCACCATCGCGTTTCGTAGAAAAATTGTATACATTTAATGAAGTCGAGGAAAATAAGAGTAATTAGGGGCAAAAACGAATAAATAATCAACGTCTCCGGAAAGAATTGTTTTCGAACACAGCATCATTATTTGATGTGAATAACATACATTTCTCGCACCATCACGTTTCGTAACAAAATTGTATTCATTTAAAGAAGTCGAGGAAAATAAGAGTAAATAGGGAAAAAAACGAAAAAATAATCAACGTCTCCAGAAAGGCTTGTTTTCAAACACGGCACCATTATTTGATGTGAATAACATATATTTCTCGCACCATCGCGTTTAGAAGCAAATTCGTATACATTTAAAAAAGTAAAGGAAAATGAGAGTAATAGGGGCAAGAACGAAAATAATCAATTTCTTAGGAAAGGCTTGTTTTCGAACACGGCACCATTATTTGATATGAATAACATATATTTCTCGCACCATCGCGTTTCGAAGCAAATTCGTATACATTTAAACAAGTCGAGGAAAATAAAAGTAATAGGGGCATTACCGAAAAAATAATCAACGTCTTCGGAAAGGCTTGTTTTCGAACACGACACCATTATTTGATGTGAATAACATATATTTCTCGCACCATCGCGTTTCGAAGCAAAATCGTATACACATAAAGAAGTCGAGGAAAATAACAGTAAATAGGGGCAAAACCGAAAAAATAATCAACGTCTTCGGAAAGGCATGTTTTCGAACACGGCACCATTATTTGATGTGAATAACATATATTTCTCGCACCATCGCGTTTCGAAACAAAATTGTATACATTTAAAGAAGTCGAGGAAAATAAGAGTAAATAGGGGCAAAAACAAAAAAATAATCAACGTCTCAGGAAAGGCTTGTTTTCAAACACGGCACCATTATTTGATGTGAATAACATATATTTCTCGCACCATCGCGTTTAGAAGCAAATTCGTATACATTTAAAGAAGTCAAGGAAAATAAGAGTAATAGGGGCAAGAACGAAAAAATAATCAATTTCTTAGGAAAGGCTTGTTTTCGAATACGGCACCATTATTTGATATGAATAACATATATTTCTCGCACCATCGCGTTTCGAAGCAAATTCGAATACATTTAAAGAAGTCGAGGAAAATAAAAGTAATGGGGGCAAATTCGAAAAAATTATCAACGTCTTCGGAAAGGCTTGTTTTCGAACACGGCACCATTATTTGATGTGAATAACATATATTTCTCGCACCATCGCGTTTCGAAGCAAAATCGTATACACATACAGAAGTCGAGGAAAATAAGAGTAAATAGGGGCAAAACCGACAAAATAATCAACGTCTTCGGAAAGGCATGTTTTTGAACACGGCACCATTATTTGATGTGAATAACATATATTTCTCGCACCATCGCGTTTCGAAACAAAATTGTATACA